TTTTTTTTTTTTTTTTTTTTTTTTTTTTTTTTCCCTTTGCCTTTTTTTTTGTCGGCCAGTCTTCTTCAAGCAAATGGCACTGGAGGCACAATGAACTCTTGAGGCCAGCACGCATATGGCCACAAGGCAGTGAACAGAAAAATGACACAGATTTCCTAGGGAGGGTCATTTGCAAGGGGCACCCATGCAGGCAAAAATCAGCCCTTTTTTTTCGGGGGGTGGGGGTGGGGGTGGGGTTTTTCCGTGCATGCCCAGAGGAGTCCAAATCCGGGCTCCTTTCTCTTCTCGAGTGTGGGCTGCCGGGGGGGGGAGGGGAGGGGGCTAAAGGGGTTTTAACTTCTAAGGGGGGTGCCTTAGTCTGATTCTGTTGTTTTCTTTTTTATGTTCAGTCCCGTGAGGACCCTCAGCCAAAAGTCGTCTGCAACCAAGGGCCTACTGTCTTAACCCGAAAAAAACGCACGTACGTCGTATACGAATACAATGGAACGTACGGGGTACATTGTACCACGGGTTTTAGGGTACAACTTTGCAGTGCTGCTTCTAAGGGGAGGAAGGGGGCTAGGTGGCCAGGTGCAGATAGGCACCCTGCAGCAGGGTTGAAGAGGCCTCCTTTCTCCCCAACCCCTGTACACTTTCCTCACAAATTCACTACCTGCTCAGTTAAACCACCAGTACTTCCTAAAGTCATGCCCGTTAAGGATCCACAATTTTAGGAAACGTACGGGGCACTAAGGAGCGCCCAAATTCATCCGACTAGAAACATTTGTACTCTGTTTTTTTCCATGACCGATTGCTGGGCCAAGTACTGGGGTGGATTAATCCCCTGGGGACCAGGGCAATGAATGCTGGCAGGTCGACACTCGACACTGTATGCTCAGACTCTTGACGTATAATGGGACACTGGGCCTGGTTTCCAGCAGGTGCGGCTCCCCACCAATAGACTGGAGCAACCAGGAAGCTTGCTAGGGGAGTGTGCTCTTATCGCGTCTCCTAGCAGTGGGATTGGTTATTGTTCAAAAAAAAAAAAAAAAAAAACAGATTGCCCTGGGTGTCCTCCAGGGGATGTACTGCCTGCAGAGGGGAGAAGATTTCTGCCTCTTCAATCCAAATCGGATCGCCAGGAAAAACAGTGCAAACGGGACAGCATTGATTTCCCTGGGGCCTCTAGGGTATATACTGCGTGGCAGTGTGTGTAGAAGGCAGAGGATTTCTGCGACTTCAATCTAAATCTGATCACCAGTGAGAACAATGAAAAGCAAGCTGAGAGTTCCACGTCGAATGTCATTCCCTGTCCTCCACTGTTAGCAGTCTGCCCCTGCGCAAGGATGACATACATAAATCCAGAAATAGAAATAAGCTATGCGAACAACAAGAATACGCCACAAGTTGCAACATCTCACAGAAGACCAGACATCATTGAGCCGAAACCGGAAGCAGAAATCACAGTGAGCTTCACACCAAAGAGGGGCAAGTAAAGCCCCAAAGTCTCTGGATAATGAACTCCCGTCCACCAACTCCAGTCACCAATACAACAGCGATGTAGCCCTCCCTAAGCTCTCCTGCGGGCTGATACTGCTTCCCTACACTCCTATCTATCTAGTCTACTTAATATGTCAGAAATAGGTCCATGTGTCATCAGCCCATTGGCGCTTGAAGACACCCAGTCTGCCTTCGTCAACACCAGGTTTTTTCTTTTTTTTTTTTTTGGAAAACCTTAGCTGTCTACTAGAGGGGGTGATACGAGCATTGCCGGCTAGTAGTAGCCTCCAGCTGCTCCATCTATTGGTGGGGAGCTGCACCTGCTGGAAAACGGGTCCAGTTCCTCATTCACACTGCCTCTCTTTTCCTTCTGCAACTCCCTGTCCCACCAAGGACGTCTGCCACTCCACCACCGGCTATGGAGCGAGCAGCCCGGCTATGGCTGGGCTGCTGCTCTCCCCTTCTTGCACCTTGCTGCCTCCGCGCAGCGTCCTCCTCATCCACAAGCAGCAAGCAGCCGCTCAGGCAGCGTTGCTGCATCGCCTGAATGTGCGAATCTTCCAGGCAGGACGCCCTCCAGTCTTTTGTGCGGGCTGGAGAGGCTGAGGAGGCTGTGCCCGGGCTTTGCCAAATGTGAAAACTGGCGGGCGCGCCTCTCCCGTTTTAGCACAACGAGAGAGACCCATAATGTAAAACCACCTTTCCTCTTGGCATTAGGCTACCTCCTTTTTCTTTCTGTTTTTTGTTGGAAGGGGGGGGGGGAGCAAGAGGGGGAGGGGKGACCTCTTCTGCAATCAGACTCGACTTATTCGCACTTCATCATGCTTGCAAACAGCGATACAGCAAACTGGCGACATGCGCCCACACAGTACTCAAAGATATCGTAACCAAATATGAGTTCTCTTCCAACTGGCTATGGCGACTGTGCGCCCATACAACTCACTGTTCACACTCGAGATCACCCTGGATGTCCCACACGCAACACTCTGTAACCCCACGCAACACACACACACACACACTACTATAGCTATGGCAGCTATGGCTGCCGCTACCCTATCGCTACACTACGCTTCACTGCCCTCTTCGTCTTCGGGCGCACTGCAGACCTCCTCGCACAAGCTGCTGAGGCAGCGCTTCCGCATGGCATCCGCAGGAATGAGTGAATGGCTGGACGCAGCCTCTTGATTTATACTTCTGTGCTGCGTTGGTCTGCCCCGTATCCCTTGGCCCACGATGTGCACACARTCCCAGACGGTACTTGCTGGACAGGACCGGACTGACTAGCTGGGACKGTTGACTCAGCAAGGTGGTCTAACACCACTTGACCACTTGCCTCTGTTGTATGCAGGCTAACTCCGAAAGGCCACTTCTAGAAACTTCTGACTTGGCCTTTCGGTGTTGTAGCAGCTACGGCTTTGCCCCTTCAGGTAAGTAGCAGCTACGACCTTGACCTTTCAGGCATCCTACAACTACGACTTCGGAACTGTCTAGACTCCTACCCTACAAGTCTACAGTTCAATTCCCTTCTAAGCTGTGACCTACGACAATCTACCTACCAATGGCGTTTCGACAGGTCGCAGGCTCAAATCTACGGGTTGACATCAATATTGTACATAGGTAAGATGGGGAACTAGGGATCGAGCCCTGGGATCTGCATTCGCTACTGCGAACTGGTGAATACCATTTCACTCCCGCCGGCCTAAATTCGAGGTCCTCCAAGAAAATTTCAGTCCAAGGCAGGACCTTTACCCTTCTACTGTCTTTCGTAAGCCCGGACTATATCGGGGGCTGTCTCTAGAAGTTCAGATCTTGTAAACCAACGGTCGTCTTCCGGTTCCTGATAACTAAAATGAACCGTGTATTGTTTCTGCGGACGACCTCTACCTCCAGTTCTGAAGACATCTTCAGCCACTATACCATCTATGTCATATCTTCCATCCATATCAGGTGGGATCATCGATCTACGGGATGGAAAACTGGATACGTGTGGAGGTGTGCTGGTAGTTCTATTGTTTAGGACGGTCCATCTTCCCCGCCCTTGACTTCCAGAACAGGCCACGGTCCTCTATATGTGGGCAGTAACTTCTGCGAGATGTTCTCCTCCGGCGCAAACTCTTTAGAACTAACCCAGACTAAGTCACCTTCTTTCTCGTGTTGCATAGCAAACTCCCTGGTCCCGGGCGACAATCTCTGAATCTGATCCCGGTTAAGTCCCTCAAACGGTCTGCACGGTCTAAAGGACTTGTGCAGTTCGTTGGGAGTGCGGCAGGTGGCTAGATGCACGCTGTTATTGTACGCACTAGCTACTTTAGGCAACATCTCATCCCAGTTAATCTGATCTGGCCTAATATACATGCGCAGAACTTGCTGTAGGATCTTGTTCATTTGCTCTGTCTGACCGTTAGTCTCTGGATGGCGGCCATACGACATCAACAACTTAGATCCGTATACTCCCATGAGTTCTTGCCAGTTCTGGCTAGTAAAGCGACTATCTCTATCGCTAACTATAGACAGCGGGATTCCATTCTCACTAACCCAACAGTCAAAGAACCTCTGTATGACTAAATCAGTACGCGCCTCAGAAGGCAAAGGAACAAGAACTGCGTACTTGCTAAAGCGGTCAACTATGACCATGACTTGGCTCTTGCCATGCCTGCTCTTGACTTGAGTGTCCATGAAATCTATTGACATTGAGTCTCCCGGCTGATCCGGGATGGGCAAGGGTCTGAGAAGACCTAGCGGGGCGCGCGTAGAACTCTTATTACGCTGGCAGACTTTGCAACTGCGAACATACTCTACGCAGTCATTCTTCATCCCTGGCCAGGTATACGCGCGCATCAGATTGGCCAAAGTCTTTTGCCAACCGAAATGACCCTCTGTGTCGTGACATTCCCCCATAATCAGACTACGGATCTCTTCGCTATTGGGGATGCACAACCGGTCAAAGACATTAGTCTTCTCGAAGAGTAACCCTCCAGTAGTGCAGTAGTTCGGCTCGGTCTCTGGGGCCTCCTTGACTCGAGTGAGGAACTCACCATAGATAGGGTCCTGCGCGTAGGCTTCTCTAACCTTCTGCTGCAAATCCTTTCCTATATCGAGGTAATGTACTATTGCCCCAAAGTAATCTGCTTTCCTATTCAGAGCATCCGCGACTACGTTGTACTTCCCTTTGACAGGCTTGAGCTCGAAGTCGTACTGATCTATCTCTGCGGCCCACCTAGTAAGCTTAGGTGTCATCTTGGCCTGGGTCTTTAACCATCGTAACGTTTCATGGTCCGAATAGACTTTGAAGTGCCTCCCAAGCAAGTAGTGCTTCCAGTGGTCTAATGCTTGCGTGAGAGCGTAGAGTTCCCTCTCATAGGTAGATGTCGCAACCTTCTCTGAAGGCATCCTAGCGGACATGAACTCTACGGGTCTATAGCCATTGCCATCGTCTTGCTGTAACACTGCGCCTAGGCCGTACTGGCTAGCATCCGTAGTAACGACAAAGGGCAAGGACGGATCGACGACGTTAAGGACGGGATACTCTATCAACGCCTGCTTTAGCTTCTTCATGGCAGACGTGCAGTCCTTGTCCCACTTCCAAATTGTCTCTTTTCTTAACAATCTGCGAAGGGGCGCAGCGATGGTGGAGAAGTTCCTCACAAACTTCCTGTAGTAATTCGCTAAGCTCAGGAACGAGCGCAACTCTGTCAGCGTACGTGGCGTGGGCCAATCTCTAATCGCTGCGATCTTGCTATCTTCTGGCTTAACGTCATCTTCATCTAAGACGTGGCCTAGATACAAAACTTGGGTCTTCGCCCAATCGCACTTCTTTGCATTGATCTTAAAGTTAGCTTCTCTCAGCTTCTCCAAGACTTGCCTGAGATGACTCTGATGCTCTTCAGGGGTCCGACTAAACACTAGGATGTCATCTAGATAAAAACTACAACAAATCTATCTAACCACGACCTGAACAAATCGTTCATACAGCGCTGGAACGTAGCTGGCGCATTGGTTAGTCCGAAGGGCATTACTATGAACTCATAATGCCCGTACCTAGTCCGGAAAGCTGTCTTATACTGATCATCAGGATGTACCTCTATCTGATGATATCCGGACTTCAAATCTATCTTAGAAAAATACTTGGCCCCCTGCACTCGATCTAAAAGATCGTCTATCCCAGGCAGTGGCTCAGCATTCTTCACTGTAATCGCATTCAAACCCCTATAGTCTATACACATTCTCAACTCTCCCTCTTTCTTAGGAACAAAGAGGATAGGCGCTCCGAAAGGAGACAAACTGGGCCTAATCCAACCCTTCTCGAGGAGCTCGTCCAATTGCTTGTGAAGCTCCTCTAACTCCCGCGGGGACATCCTATACAGTGCACCCTTAGGAGTTCTACTGCCAGGCTCTATCTCAATACGGTGCTGGATGGGCCGCGGCACAGTGCCTGTCGGCGGCTAAGTCAAATCCTTAAACTCTTCCAGCAGCTTGGCAATTGCAGGGTCCATCAACTTCTCTTCCGTAGGCTCAGTCCCTGGCCTGACATAGGCAACGAAAACCTGTTCCTCTAGTTTTTCCTTTTTCACCAATCTGGCGAACGCAGGAGCACTAAGGCAGCAATGTGCCAAGGAATTCTCTACGCCTGGCACATGGAACAGGCGGGCAGTCTTAGCCTCGCCTGAAGAACTAGGGAGCCTACACTCGTGCTCCTTCAAATGGAGCGTGGCCCCGGCTGCCTCTCCCCAATCCATTCCCAGGACAATGTCGAATGGGAGGCTGTCTTCTACGAGGAGAGTCAGGGAGTGGAGGACCTTCTCCACTTTCCCATCCTTCTCTAGGCGGAAATACGCCTCGACTCCCTCTACATACTCCTCTACAACCATAGTACGATTGTCTGCGAGGATACTAGCTATGGGATTTGCTAGCTTTTGGACTTTAAGTCCCAGCTTCAACTTCTGCAGCGCTTTCCCACTAAATAGCTGCGGGTGGCCCCTGAATCTACTAGGGCCCCTACTCTACTTCTAAAAACCTTTGTATCTAACAATATAAGCTGCCCTTTATTCTCCTTCTTCATCTTGGCCCAGGCGGGCATCCTCTCCTTCAATTCTTCGGCCACGCTTGTGAGGGAGGTGTCTAGCGAAACTGTAACACAAGCAGTTTCCAGACAACTGTCTAGACACCGACCTGCAACCTCTGCCATAGGCACATGTGGTGTGGGAGTCTCCTGCCGGCTAGCGCTATGTTCCCCACATGGCCTAATGGTAGGGGCAGTTGCTACCCCTACCGGCGGCTGCCTTTTGGCCCTTGGGCAGCCGTTCGGGTCTCTCTGTACTTAGGACAATATTTGATGATGTGGCCCGGGTCACCGCAGAAAATGCACTGGCCCCGGTCCAATCGTTGTTGCCATAAAGTCTGGTCCAGACCCAAAGATTCCCAAGGCCTACCCTGCGGTAGCCTTGGGTGCGATCCTCGTACCCTATAGGGAGACCTATTCCTAGGACGGTTTTGCGGGGGACCTTGACCCCTGCCTCCCACTTGGCGGTTTCCTCCTCTGCCGCCAACCCCCTGATCGCCCTGAAATCGGCTCCCTGAGGCCCGACCCCCTTGGCCCTGGCCTCTTCCTCCTTGCGGCCTCCCTCCAGCCGCGACAGCAGCGTAAGATCTCCCCTGGCCCACACCGCTGCCCTCCTCCTCTAACCCCCACTCACTCTGATCGTAGGGGATCTCATCCACACTACCCTCATCTTAGGTCAAGACAAGGCTGTCCTTGGTCTTTACTTGCCCTGAGATAGTGCGGCCCTTCCATTGCTTACCCTTGTCCAAGTCCTTGTGCCAGAAAGTGGACACAGAGGCAGACTTGGCTTCAAAAGCCACTACTTCGCGACTCAGGGAATCGTATGTAGTGGCGAGGTCTTCGCTCTTTGCGAAGAAATGCCCTCGAAGGGCTTCGGGTATAGCCCGATAAAAGAGGCCAACCAACTGGGTGTCTGTAACCCCGTGGTCAGGGACAGCTACCGGTTCGTCCATKGTACTCTTAAGTGCCCTGGCGCTCTTCCACTTACGAGCGTGGATCGTCTGCAGCCTGTCTGAGGC